AACAAATGATCGAATACTACAACCGCGCAATAAACTCGCCTAACGTACTATTAAAGAAGCAGCATACTAAACAAGCAAATGAACAGTAAATGGTATATCGCAATAACGACACAATTAAACAACATCAATGAAAGTGACACAATTAATTTGGACGGAATAACAACAACTGCTAAAAACAAAAATGTACAAATATAATTGGAAAAACAATTTAAACAGTACTGGAAAGAAGAATTGAATAATGATCGAGAGGGTAATAAATTGAGAACATACAGAACATTTAAAAATAGATTTGAATTAGAAAACTATTTGATATCACTGAAAAATGTTGAACTAAGACAAACATTTTGTAAATTTCGAGAATTTACAATTTAAAGCAACCACAATTTAAAAATAGAAACAGGACGACATTCCAAACCAAAACAATAACACCTATGTGAATTTTGCACACAAAAAACAAATACAAGACGAACAACAATTCATCATGACTTGTCCATTTTACAATGACCAAAGAAAATTAATATTTGAGAAATGTAAGAAACAAATTAATAATTTTGATAATTTTACAATTAATGAACAATTTGCATTGACAATGAGTTATAATTTTATCTCATTTCATACCACACTCGGACAATTCATTAAAACTGCCCTCGACTTAAGACAGCAACACCTCCAAGATTTGTAACTCTTCTAGTGATGCATTAACGCATTATTATTGTTACTTTTTAACAATGGTTTCTTCTACCTTTATTATTGCTGTGAGTGGAATATATTACTATTCATGTTTTTTATTTCGATTATTATTATTATTTTTATTATAAAATAGATGGCGGCCCCCATGTAGTAAATATCGTATTTATTTTATTATCACGTGTGCGCCAGCTGACTGTGCTCCCGAACATGATACTCGGCCATGTCTGTTGCAGACAACGAAAATATGTCGCAAGGAATAGCATGCACAAATTGTAGGTTGTACATTTTTTTTTATTTAACCACTGCCAAAATAAAATATGTATATAATATCTTCATGCTATCAATATTACCCCAAAATTTCCCTAAAATTTAAATGCCCTTCCCTTTATTTGTTTACGAATTGAACTTCATTCATATTCTGGGGCATTATTTGGAACACCATAACTGTGCATTATGCTCTATTTAACCATGGCTTGCATAAATTAAAACAGTCTCCCAACCAATCACAATGATGCATTGATGGGAGTGACACACTGGTATAATATAATTGCTGGTATAACATAATGTTTGTTTGTTCATGTGTTGTGCCCAGAACGACATCAAATAACAACCCCCCCCCCAACATACGCATGTGTTACGAACAACTGAATAAATCATACATGTGCAGTTATTAATTGAAGTAATCATAAATACATTATTATAATCAAAATGGGAAAAGTGGTCTGTACGTTCTGAATTCGTCTTACCTATATGACATCGAAATAGCGTTGTAATCTAAATGGTACTAACGATTTGCTGTTAACTATCATAGAGTTGCACGTCAATAAAATAATGGCTATTTACTAAATGACGAACGTCTCTTGTGAATTTGACGGCAGTGCTTTATCCAATTTACGCCATTTCTTTCTAGAGGGCGCTTAGTTATTTGAAAGCAAGTAACACCTGTCAAATAACCTCTGAGTTGTACATTACTTGCTGTGAATATTATTCAATGCACGTTTTCAAAATACATGCCAACCAGGCATAAAACTATTTTTGTTAACATACTGCTCGAAACACGTAAAGCAAAATGTAGAATACTGCTTATTTTAGTTTGAATATACATTTTTGTATTTATTGTATTTTATGTCAAGATTTCAAATGGGATACGATAGCAATACAGATTTACTTACTTACATGCTTACATACCTGCACCAGCAGTTTTCTATTTCTGCAAAGTCCTGACTCAACTTGGCATGTTTTCTGTTTGCACACCGGATTAAAAACGCGGCTTACAGCGACATTGTGGACATAAAGAGTAATATAATACATTTACAAATCATTTGCAACGTACTTACGAGTGCTAGAGATATCTGTGATAATGTATTATGGCTCAGCAATCAACGAACAATTCACTGATGATTGTTATCTTGTCTCTCACAAAACTGTGTATCGTATGAGGTACTTGGTCGAATAGACTAGGTCTTCGGGCTGGCTTTGTTCTACTGCAACTCCGCCATGCGCGCGCTTCAAACGAATACCTTGTGGCAACAAACACTAAAAAGCCGCCAGAAGTGGAACAACGTCTAAAATAAAGTTAAACGGCTGTATTGAAAAAAAACATATCAAGAGACTGTATGCAAGCCTAGGGCGGTACGTTTAACAGAATCACGTAAATCCAGTCAGTTTTATATGATCGTATATATTCATGTATAGAGCGATGTGGAATGAAATGATAATAAGCTTAATGTACATTATAAATGGTATAATGACCTCGCCAAAATTTCTTATCTTATTATGTTTAATGGATGACAACGGTGTGACAGTTTGGCATTTACTAATACTAGTAACTAAATTCAAGTCATATATAGATGTATTGTCGTTCTAGACCTCATATATTTCCGTGTACGGTGTAGTTTTCAATCATACTGCTCTTTTATATCGTGAATTAATATTTGACCATTATTAGTATCTATCTGTTTTTGATATTTACAATCATACAACAATGATTGTACGGTAGCACATATCTGGTATATCAACACTGTAAACGGTGACACATTGGTATACCGGGGGCGTTCCATTTCAGAGAGGGGTTAAAGCGGTATTGCTCTACAGGGAGATTAAATTTCCTTAGTTCTTTCAAGAACGCCTGGTAAGTTTGTATCAAAGCTCGCATTTAAATGAAACATACTACTAGGAAACATATTCTTTTACATCGCTAACAATTACTCTGCAAACACATAATTGAATGGAATCGCCCAGTGCGATCGAAAAACTATCAATACAATATCTGCAGCAAGCAGAGCATTGACCAAATATCACATTCCGCTCGAACTGTAAACTAGTCAAGCCCGGTGGTGATGCGAGATGCCGTGACCCCGAGCTCACGCAAAACAAGAAATTTGAACCGACTTGGAGTTACACCAAGCTGTGCTGATGCCAATAATCTTTCCGTCAAAATGGCGAAGAGCTCGGAAACTGCAGGCAAATTCAACGACATTGGATATCTGTGGAATATGCATAAACGATGCCATCACATTAACTATGACAGTGTAAGGCAGTGCCTGACAAGTTTAGGATATCATATCGGTGAAGACAACCCACAGGTATGCGTTCATAGCTAGTATATAACCAACTATAAAAATACGCCCAGCTGTGCAGAATTATATTGGGAAACTTCGCAATTGTGTTGCGGAAGAGATTATCGTATATAAAATAATTATTTCTGAGTGGTCAAAGGTTCTTCTTAATGACTTCTACCTTGATTTGTAGCCTTGTTTCAAGGAGCATTATAGTTACCGATCTAAAACACGACCTTGGCAACCGGCTATCGCGTAGTACGCTCTGAAGTAAAAATATAACACTGCAACGTAACAAGCATTACCATAATAATTTATCAAACATCGAGACCTATCATTCGGCCATCAGTAAACGAGTTCAACCCACGCACATGATATCGACCCACAATTACAGATATAATACAATGAACTAGAAGTATACGTGCCACTTTACACTAATTTCAATTATTGTTCAGACCATCGTCAAGTTCCCGCAACAAATAATACTCAGGGATACAACAAAACGAAAATTTTATTTATATCAACTAATCAATGCTGTTTGTATTATAACAACGCCTTTACGTACATTCTTTTCCCCTGTTACATGCCAGTGCCATATGGTTGGAAGTATACACGCATGCGCAGTAAACACATGTAGGGGTAGTCGATTTCAGTTTCCAAAAATAGGTAAAATATTTCCGACATTTCAGCCAGACGTATTGCAGCTGTGGTTTCAGTCGTTTCATGAACTAGCTTTGATGTTCTATAGCTGTAGCCGTGTCGATTTCAAGTGGGTGTCACTTTACGTATATAAATTCCTATCGATGTCTTCCATGTTTCAACAGTCTATATAATGTGTGAAGTATCGATGTCAACACAACGCAACATTCATTTATATTGTCAACGCGTACAAGTTTCGGATATTAGAATTAACTAATTAATTAAAGAGGTATAGCAGTTTTTTTGAAAATTTTTAAATATATTTTGTGCAAATAAAACCCTTGTTTTGGTAGCAAACATAACAGTATTCGTTTGATGAAATACTTACAGGTAATTAACTCGTGTTTTCAGTATAAACAACGAATATTGTCTTGTTTTGTCATACCTAATCTTTTTTTGAACTTCTTAACATATATTATGCCGCCCAACTAGGAGGATCACCATATTAAAACTTTATAAATATTGCATTAGTATTCAGAAAAATACGATTTGCTCTGATTACTTAATATGGTGGCTGGTAGTGTCCGATCTACCTACATGGGGTTTTAATCGGATTGGAAAATACCCTGCAAGGCCGAGTGGAAATTACGATGTATCACTTGTATTCAGACACAAACACTACATTGTACAAATCCGATAGGCGTGGCATTTATTTGAGTATATTACAATTGTACAAATACAAGGGACAGGAAAACAAAGTATTCAATTAAATTGGCCCCTAGTAAATAAACAAACGTCTTGTACCTTATAATAATAATAATAGTAGAGTTCGCACTACACGAAGTACGGGCTAAGATTTAAGCTAATCTCGTATATGTTTGCATATCGTATAGACGTTAAGCGACAAAGGTGAAAAAATAGACCGCGGTTACAAGAACCTAATCAAGCGTGGAAAAAAATCATCTCAATTTTTGTCGTTTCGTTTCAGAAGTATGGAAGAACACATCAGTCAGCTGGTAGTGTTTTGAAATGATTTTCTCTGGCACTGAAACAATTGTAGATGTAGCTTTCTAGTTATGTTATTTTTGGCTGTTATTGCTTGCATTGTAATCAATTGGTATTTGTGTTGTTGCAATGTATTAAACTGATTTCCTTCAACATTTCAGTTTTCTCATTTTCATACAGCTTGCATTCAAGTAAGAAATGCATTTCGTCGTCAATCTCATTTTGGTCGCAAGCAGTGCACTTTCTACCACCGCAAGATTTTTTTATATCGTCCTTTCTTTATTTCTAAATTATGAGCACTAATTCTCAATTTTGTTAATGCTGCTCTATGTTTTGCATTTGTTACTGTTGTTTGATAATTTTCATACTGACAATTTATTCTTTAGTAGTCTATATGTTCGCAGCTTATTCTGTTTGTATTTATCATCATGCATTTGTTCTTGACTCTTTATTTATGGGGAACTGGAAAAATATCCACATCAAAAAACAATTAATTAAATATTTCAACATAGTAATGAACACATAACCAAAATAACAATAACAGAAGGAATAAACTCAGAACGTACGCAAATTTCAAAAATCTGAGCCATCATAAACGAAATATTTACAGTACAGGGAGGTATACCAAACCAAAAAAACCGAAATAGGAATAAGAATTTGCAAATAGTATTTAAATAATAAAGTAGAAGATGAGTACCATTTTAATATTAAATGCCCATTTTTATTAAAATCGCGAAAGACACTATTTGAAGAGATCACTACCAGTTGCCCAATTTATCAAAAATAACAAGAACCCTGAACACCAACAAAATTCTTACAAATTACTAGTATCATAAATATTGTTTCTCCTTTAATACTTTTTTTTCATTCCGTTTCCATGTTTGTTTTTTATTTACATTGCTTTTTTTTCTTATTATTGCTAGTTTTTTTCAATAGTATTTCGTGTTTTAGATAGTATTTTTGTAGAATTTGTATATTTTAAATATGTGTTCTAGTAGTTAGTGTAATCATTTTAATTCCTTCTGGGAATTTTTAGTGTTTCAAAAAACTTCCAAACTTATTTTTCACTTGAAACAGAATTAGTAGATATTGACCGATGGAGCATGCGCAGTTCTATTCTGCTTGAAATCATCGAACAATCCGATATACGTAAACGACAATTTCTGATAGGAGCTCTATGCTCACATGCATCAACTAAAACCAGATGTGGATGAAAATAACCACATGAATTGTTAATATGCACATACAAGTGTATAATTAATATAATAAGACAAAGAGTCATTAGTTAAAATATCCTATAATGATAGAAACATATGAACAAATTTCAATTACAATAGTGCCGTTGACACGCATTTTACCGCTAAGTGTGACGCGTATTGCGTTGTATGCTTCTCCACAAATGTCGCCGCTTTATGTATGATTACTCGAATTCAGTATGCAAACACTGTAGTTCCAATATTTTTTACTATATTGAATGGTAACTGTATGCCATTCCTATTATTGCACATTTTTTATTGAATGCATTTTTTACCATTATGATGATGTATGATATTATCTGTCACCAGGGTGACAAAGAATTCAACAAGATATTGCTTAAACTGGACCCTCATAGGAACGGATACATTTCCTATGACATTCTGGTAAACTTCCTGTCACGTGAGCCAAGTGACGAAGACCCGGATGAGCAACTACTAGAATCATTCAGATTATTAGCCCGGGGAAAGGTACCAATGTATTGTTTACAGTCGACACGTACACGTTTATAAAACACCAATTTAGTGTGCGTAATTTAAATAGTATAATGATGGGTATTATCATGTAAATAACATACTTTGGGTTTGGATAAGGCTAGAGAAAGAATATCCACAGTCCCTCTATCTGTTTAGTACATTGCACATAAAGGCTGTGTATATTATAATAAACCATATAGTCTATGATATAATCACACTCAAATGCATATTACAGCCATGCAGCTATTTCATAATATATACTTGTAGCTGTCGCGTTTCATTTCCACCAAGTTACGTCTAGTTTATTGTAACACACCATGTGAATGGCAAATAGAAAATGAAATTTGTCTTCCATGATTTTGCCATATACTAGTATGTCAATTCTCAAGGAATGGGTTAGATATTCAGAAAAAAATCAAGTTACGCAATATAGCCCATGATATTTCTTTTTTTTTATTCACTTAATGCATATTAAACTAATAAAATTATCGAACATGGATGGATTTGGACACATTTATTCACTTCACTTGTAATTAGTAATTTATATATTAATGAAATATATATATATATAATTAAATTGAAAACAACACGTTATTTTTGTTCTAACAGGCATACATCACCCCTGAACAACTTCGGAATACCTTCCCGCCGGATATTGCCGACTATTGTATTGGCAGGATGGCGCTTTTCGAAGGACCGGCGATAGAGGGCGCTTTGGACTATACATCCTATGATATCAGAATAAAACACCCTGATTACAGATGACGTTACAAAAGGGATATGCAGGACATTAAAACATATTTATTTTTCACATCATATTGATGCCTGATTTTGTTGTACTATTAAATACTTTAAAGCTTTTGTTAGCACCCATTTCATGGTCAGTTTTGTGGGAATTGTTAAAAAGAGTAGGTTCAAGTTCAGGAATGAAAGAATACACCGCGTATGGACTGCAACAGATGACTTTATTGAATGAACTAAATAAGAGAAGTTCGTTTTCCATTTATATAATCAAAGTAAATATTGGCCCTGTACATGACTGGTTACATTGTGATTTAACGAGCTTGTCAATTGGTTGAAATTAAATCAATCTCATTCTCTGGTTAGTCAGAATTCTATATTGTTATCAAGCTAAATTTTCCGACAAGTTTACCATGTTGATTTTGCTGAGGAAAAGAGACTCGTCTATAAAGAATTGTAAGTTTGCAGAAATACATAAACATTTTCGTTCGTGGAAAGCGAGAGAATTGTTATATAAACAGTTTAGCATAAAGCAGTAATACATCGAACACAGCTGATAATCTTTTGTGTTGAATAACTGACACGTTTGTATCCCACTGAACCACGGTATCAAAAATCATTAATCGACTGTGACATTATTGTACATTTGCCGAGGTATGCGTTGCGACTGTTACACATGTTCGTTAGGTATAAAGCTCATGTAGACGGTAAATGCATATGGTTAGGAACCACAATATTATAAAAGAGTAATTTTCAGTTCAACTTTTTCAACGACAGGAGTGAAATCAACTTTATTTACATTATTTTATTACCAAACAAAATCGTGATAGTCGATTGTTTTGAATACAGTTAATTTGAAATATTTCCGAATCACGTGCATATTTTGTTGTTGAAATACTCGTCGATAGTCTGTCGCCCTCTAGCGAACACAACCAGGATAGCTCTTCTTGTACCGGTCTTTAGTCTTTGTGGGGGTATTTGATAATTTGTGTCACTAAATTTGTTATTTTCAGATATTAGGATTGTTATCGACACAGCTGAGTTATGGTTCCTCCCATGGACTTTAAATGGCATTGCAAATAAAAGTCGATAAAAGTACACATTTACATATAGCACGCAACTATCACCAATCGATAGTATGTTTATAGAACATTCACAAGTGCGAACGCGGTGACAAAAATGAGCTGTTTTAAGTTGTTTTTCCTGGAATTTGCCTCGCAAAACCGAACGTAACTCTAGTGACAGCCATTTTTTTGAGGTCGAATGAGGAATAAATTACTTTGGTAAATGACATCACTGTATTCGAACTTTCCACGCAAAGTGGAACAACTAAAACGCCAGTATTTTGTTATAGATTTCTTGGTATTCACTGTTGTATATTTTCCCTGCATCCTGAAATCATAGAAGGACATTTATTTTTACAGTTCTCTCAAAATAACTGGGCAGTATACGCATGAACCTGAGGTAGACGACAAAAAGTACATGTAGTTGGCTTTACGGGAGTATTTAACAAGTTTATTCTCCAGGGACATCAAACTAATTGCTTTTGTCACTGTTTTGGAGAGTTTAATTTAGCGTACCACTGTTGTGTTACGCAACTTCATGGGAGAAATTATAGCTCTTCTGTGCCGACAACAATCCTAACATCTAAAAATAACAAATTTAATGACACAAAATATATCAGAAATGATGAAAATACCACTACAAAGACAAGAGGCCGACAAAAGAAGAGCTATTGACCCACAGCTAGATGTTAACCGGACTGTATTGACTACAGACCAGCGTAGACTAGTGTAGACCAGCGTAGACTAGTGTAGACCAGCGTAGACTGGTGTAGTAGTTTAAGACACATGCGATGGTGAAACAAGCGTTAGTGTTGTTTCCGATGGGTAAACTGAAAAAAAACAAAGTCAATCAAATCATATATTCTTATTGCAAATACATTAAATAAATTTTATTTCCTGTATGAATTGTTAAAAAGAGTAGGTTCAGGAATGGAGGATTAGACCGCGCATGAACTGCAACAGATAATTTTATAGATCAAACTGCTGAATAGACGTTTCGTCTCCTACTAAAATGCTCAAACAAATATTGGCCTTGTACATGACTGGTTACAATGGATATGACCTAGTACATGATTGACGAAAAGAGAAATGAGCAGATTGGTCATTGTGATTTAACGAGCTTGTCAATTGGTTGAAATTAAATCAATCTCATTGTCTGTCTAATTCTCAGAATCCTAAATTGGTATCAAGCTCAGTTTTTTCCGATGTCAAATAAATCGGTCTATCTTTAATTATTAAATATTATAACCCATAGTTATACTTACCTTTTGCATAATCTGTCTCCTTTTCTGTTTTTTTATAAAGCTCCTTTAATTCATCTAATATAATTCTGTCTCTGTACGTACAAGATTCTTTCCAATTTCCCCGTTCACGGTAAATAGCAGCTAAGTAATA